AGATTTGTACAGAGCATTCAATCCAACAACAGCACAATACATATTTTTCTCTAGTGCACATGGAACATTCTCCAGAATAGACCATGTGTTAGGCTACAAAACCTTAAGTCTCAATACTGAAGGTTTCCATGGATAAGATATTGAATGATGCAGGAAGCATAAAAATAAATGGAAGGAATTCATAGTCACTGGATCAAAAAGAATTATTCATCCATTTCAAGTAGCAGCATATTATCAGTATCCAATAGTGTCGAAAGAAGCAGTTCAAGCTACACAGAAGGCATTGGCAAAAAGCGTGACTCCAGAAATTGACCCAAGCCATGGTATTTTCATTTGCTTCATATGCACTTGAAGGTTGGAGAAATAATAAAGTAGAACATAGAAGAATCAATGGATTTAAATTATGATGTTGATGAATATTGAAAGTTTCATGAACTTCCAGAATAACAAAACAAATATTTCTTGCAAGAAGTACAGCCAGAATGCTCTTTAGAAACAAGCATGGGGTGATTTTGTCTCCTTTGGACATACTTTCAGGAAGAACCAAGCCCTGGAGGAGGACATTAGACTTGGTAAAGGGGAGAGTCAGTGAACAAGAGGAAGACCCCCAATGAGATGGATTGGCACAATGGAAGGTACAATAGGCTCAAACCTAACAACTATTACGAGGAAGATGCAGGACTGGGCAGTATTTCCTTCTGTTGTGCCTTGGGTTGCTATGAGTCACCTAAGATCAGCATGGAGTCCTGGTGTGGCGCTGTGGGTTGACATGCTGAACTACAAAGTCGGTTTGAATCACAAGGTTGGCAGGTCAAGATCACCAGTCACTCTTCAGAAACCCAATACACAGTCACTGAGTCAGAACCGACTCAACGGCATATAACAACAAATAAACAGCAATGATCAGCACTGGACTGTAAGATCAGCACTGAACTGGGAATCATAAGGTCAGCAGTTCAAACCCATGAGCTGTTCCTTGGAAACCTTCTATAGGTTTGCTGTATGTCTAAAGTGACTCTAAGCACTTACCAACAACTTTCAAACTTTTAGGTATCTATTGGAGTAGAATACTATATTCAGGTATTAAAATATGTATCACTTCCTATTGTTGCTGTAATGAACAAATCACAAATTTAGTGGCTTAAGACAACATCAATTTATTGTCTTACAGAAATCCAAGGGTTCACCTAGATTGTGCCAGTTTCTTGAGATTGTATATGAGAATTGGTACTTTGTCTTTTTCAGTTTCTAGATATTGCCACGTTCTTTGATTCAGCTCCACATCAGTCTGATCTCTGCTCCTATCATCACATCTTGCTCTCTGACTCTGACCCTCTTACCTTCTAGGATCCTATCCCCATCTCACGAGATTAATTTAATCACACCTGCAGAGTCTCTTTTGCCGTGTAAAGCTCACACATTTTGGAAAGTAGAGCGTGGATACTGGTGTAGCACTGTGGGTTCATGCACCGGACTACAAAGTCATTTGAACTACAAGGTCGGTGGTTCAACCTCACCAGCTGCTCCTTGGAAACCCTATATACATGGTCGCTATGGGTTGGAACCGACTTGACGGCACTTAACAACAGTCTTTGTGGGACTTTCATTTTTTCAAGCTGACTATTAATCTCTCACCCCATGTACTTCCTTGATACAGCCAAGCATCTCTGCTCTCTGATAATGGAAAAAGTTTATTATAAACCCATAAATCAAAAGGGGAAAATCCTAGTTATGACTGCCCTTTGTTTTTCTGTTTGGTATTGACACAGAAAAATTAATGAAAACTGTGTTAGAGAAAACTAATACTCCACTACTTGATGCAGATTTTTGTGATATAAAAATCTATCATTCCATGAGTGTAGGTTCAATTATGAAGACAATGTTGTGCAAGAAATCTAGAGACTGTGTCTTTGATTACCTCCTTGTCCTGAACTTTGGTCATTGTCAAAACCACTTAACCAGTTCACAGCTGTCTTGTTTTTCCCTAAGAAATAAGAGCACTAATTGCTATCTTTTTGACAGAGACCATATAGTTAGTTCTTGTAAAGCTTACTCTCTAAAGTGAGATTGCTCTAACTGAAAATTGCTTCTATGTTTGAGTTGTCCCTTGTCAAGTAAAGAGCCCTCTAGGGACTTTAGGATCCTAATCTCTCAGTAAGGGTATTACAGATAGGAATTGATAACAGTGAACTCACAAAACGTCCCCTTCTTGACCCCCAAATTAAGATATTGTTCAAAAATGGGATTTTAAACTCCAGTGTTAGTGCTTGGATATCTTATCAAAATCTGGAAATGAAATCGAAGTGTGGCTTTTGGAAAACATGCTGGATTTTTGGATCTGACACTAATTCTGGGACTGTTTTCTACAGACAAGTTTCCTAATCTTGTGGTCTTCATTTTATCAAAACATTGAGACTTTGGTGCTTGATCTCATGTGTTTGTAAAGGAGGTTGATTGTGGATAAAACCAAAATCCCTATGTTTTTGAGTCTGTTTTGATTTCTGAAGAATGTACAAGCCAGAGTAGAGCAGTTTCACAGGTTTC